CGGGCATACAAACGTAACGCCAGGTTCACACACTCAGTCTGTGGTGCGTATTTTTCCCGCGCCCATATTAACGGAATTAGAGCGTTCACACTGCACGCGATTGCGGTCCGGCAGTGCGCTCCAGTAGTCTATTTCTGCTGTGCTGCACGCGCTAAATTAAAGTGACAGCGTATTATTCGCGGTAAAAAATAACATGGATTGACACGGAAATTTAGTAATTACACCATAAATGCATATAATTAAAGTCTACTGTTTCACAGTCAACACATGGCTTTTTGGCTAGATTTAAAACAAGGAAAAGTGCACTTTTAGATAAACAAGGCAATAATAGATGGCACTCGTGGTGGTAGTTAAAGTTATATTTATTGAGATTGAACGTGAATATGTCTATGAGAGATTGTATTACTGTACTGTGATGAAAGAGAATCAAAATGCTGAAAAAGCATTTTCAGAAACAACGTTTGGATTTGAAATCAAAATAATGGATAAATGTTGTGTTTGTGGTAAACAGCCGCGGATCAGGAGCGGACTGCAAACACTTGGTGATTATTTTGCCTTATGTCTGTTCTAGAGACATGTTACAGCTTTTTGATAAAACTCTAATTGGTTTTCTTTTGGAAATATGTTTCAAATTCACACTGAATGCATTTATGACTGTAAAGCATGTCTGTGTGTGTCAAAATCGTGATTAAAATCGAAATCTCAATTTATCAAAGAAATCGCGATAGGTTTTTTTTGTCCATATCGCACTGCCCTAGCCACAAAGCTGATTTTCTGCACTAATCCAAAAGCGAATGGAAAAATGCTTTTTGTGAAAAATGCGAACTTTAAAAACACATCACTTACTATGAAAGTCAGTAGGAAGGTTAAAAAGCTGAAATGTGAACCTTATAGGCTTATACTAAGAAAAGTTTTCTGAGATGAGGGTTCATTTTGACAAACTAAGCAACGAGTCAGTATGTTTCTGATGAAAATGACAAATGATAAACGCTGGCAACTCACTTTCCGGGCCATTACGAGGCCAGAGGTTTTGTGGCACACTTTATTAACCACACCTCCGTTTCCAGCTCCCAGCTCACAGATATGCTGGAAATCGTCGTCTTTCAGTTCGCCCAGATTGGCTTTCTGCGTGAGAAAAGCTTCCAGACGCTTCTTCTGCTGCTCATCCAAATCGAGCTCTTCTAGCTTCCTCTGCAGGGCCTCCAGATTCGCTCTGAGATTTAAAAAATAAAGAAAAAGACATCAAGTAACATGCATACAATCTTCTCTTTCCATGTCGGACTACTCACAGCTTTATAACTTACTCTGACGCAGCATCTATGGATGTAGAGGTCGTCTGTGCCTCTCCAGATCCGGTTATAACTATGGGCTGTGGTCTCTTTTTCGGAGCCATGGCTGATTTTTAAAAAGCCGACGGGACCTTTAATGTAAGGCGAGCTCAGACTGAGCTTTACTGTACAATAACTCTGATTTACAGCTTGTCATCGAGCTGATAAAGTTCCTAGATCAGTCTGATTACAAACAAAACTCCTCAGCCTGTTTACTATCCAGATCTGATCATTATTATATTAAAACACTAGGTGCACATGAATGTCCCTACTGAGTGACATTCACTTCAATTCACACTAATGTGACACGGACTCTTATATTATACAGAGATAACAAACAAACTCTAAAATCTCCTGTTAACCTATAAACAACACGTGTTACTGTCACTAACACACATAACATACATAAAAAAGCGAGTTTACTTTATAAAACGAGTATAAATAAACTGGGAGTAATAAATAAACACATTGTTTTGATTTCTCGCGGTTAGCCTGCTAGCATCGCTATGTGTCTCTGCTGAGGTTTAACGCGTCCGTCAGCGCTAACGGTCTCTCTCATACGACGGAAAAATGAGTTGCCGAACTCCGTGGCGAGTGAAGCCGGTCCCGATGAGCGGAATGTCCCGGTAGAGGAGGCTGCGGATGAAGATGAGGAGGGCGCGGTGAGTTTCGGCCCAGCTGCTCTCGGCAGGCTACCGGAAACACTAGAGCGCAGATCCCGCCGGAACTATCGCGAGACTTCTTCTTGAAATTTTATTGGTGGTTGACAAACAACAAAATGGTGTATTTCCGCCACCAACTGGTATGGAGTGTGGATCAAAAAAGTGTTTTACTTCCTACATCATGTTTACCCATTTTAAAAAGTGTACTATTTAATCTTGTGTGTCCAAATCTCATCCTCGATATTACTATCTCATCTCTCCAGTTTTCCCTGCACTTCTCATCTCTCCCACTTTCCTTTGAATTCTGTAACCTTTTTTCTCCTTACCCCATTGTTTTTGCCACCTTTCCTTCAATCTTTTCTTAATAATACTCCTGATTTCATTCTTACTTAGATTAACAATGAAGTTAATGTCGTTGTTTTTAAATGCTTCTTTTGCTTCTTTATCTGCAGTTTCATTTCCTTGGATGATATAAATACTGTTCGGTTTCTCGCACAAACCGATTGTTTCGTGTCTTAGGACATCAATGTGTCGTCACGAGCCGCAGGGTTTAATTTGGATTTGTCTGTGCATGTTTTTTTTACTCTCATAGATTTTGTTACCATTGCCATCCATTATATGACTGACAGACTGCAACGGTTTGAGTTAAAAATCTTCGTTTGTGTTCTACTGAAGAAACAAAGTCACATACATCTTGGATGCCCTGGGGGTAAGCAGATAAACACCAAAATGTGTATAGGTAGTATTTATAAAACTTTAGCTTTTAGTTTTGGATCTGTTTTTAGTTGTTTTAATACTGCAACTGATTGCTTCTGTTGTCCTCATTTGTAAGTCGCTTTGGATAAAAGGCAAGCGTCTGCTAAATGACTAAATAAATAAAATAAACATAATTTGTCATTATGGAAAACAACACAGGGCTCACTATACGTCCTTGTGGAGTTCCATTTTTGATCACAAACTTTTCTGAATAACTATTTCCTATTCTCACTTCTATTGCTCTTCCTGATAAAAAAAATCCTTGATCCATCTATACATTTGACCTTTGATACCTAACTTCCATAATTTGATTAACATTGCTTCTGTCCACATCATGTCGTATGCTTTCTCTATGTCAAAGACGACAGCCACTACACTCTCTCGATTTATTTGTGCTTTTCTTATTTCGTGTTCTAAACACACAGCCAGATCCATTGTATTTCTCCCTCTCCTAAAACCACTCTGATATTTGGATAAAAATTTATTATTTTCCACATGATACATTAACCTTTCATTCACCATTTTTTCCATTATCTTACCAATATTAGACATCAAAGCAATAGGTCTATAATTTCCTGGATTTGTACAATCTTTCCCAGGTTTACGTATTGGAACTATCACCGCCTCCTTCTGCCAAAAATAGAACTTTTTTATTTTAAAAACAAACAAGCAAGCCCTGTCTCGATTTAAAAAGTAACGCAAAAGTAACGTAACGCATTACTTTCCATAAAAAGTAACCAAGTAACGTAATTAGTTACTTTTTTATGGAGTAACGCAACATTATAACGCATTACTTTTAAAAGTAACTTTCCCCAACACTGATTATTAACCTTATTAACCTCTTTTTTAACTTCCATTTTTTCAATTTCTTGTTCACTAATACTCCTAAATGCCTCCCAATCTGCATTTTCAAAAAACCATTTGTCTACTCCTCCTGTATTACACTCTTCCATACATAAATTTACCTCAATCCCTATAGGATAATGATCACTCCCTATAGTTGTTTCTCTAAACACCTCTCATAAGCATATACCCGCCAGTGAATTTGAAACAAGTGTTAGATCAATAGCTGCTTCTGTTCCTGTTCTTACATTAATCCTTGTTCCCCTTCCATCATTTAAACATACTAAATCCTTAATCTCCATTAATTCTTCAATCACTATTCCATTCCCATCATTACAATTGTCCCATAACGTGCTATGAGCATTAAAATCTCTGCAACATATGATTTTTCCCTTCTAAATATACAGTACAATCAATTCATCCAATACCTCTAGTGATAGTCTTTTACATGGATTATAAAAGTTTATAATTTTAACATTTCCTTTTTTTTCCCAAAACTTCTGTTATTATAAATTCCAACTCCTTTCCTTTTCCTAAAACCTTATATTGTATTCCTTGTTTTACAAATATTATACACCCTCCACCAATATCTTCCTCTCTATCCCTGCGTATACTATCATAACCTTTAATACAACTATCACGAGACTAGAGAGGAACGATTGCTAAAAGCTAATTTTGCATTTTATTAACTCCTGTAATGTCTGACCCCAAAGAAACTTTGACTTCTCTCAAAAAAAAAAAAAAAAAATTAATTATATTGTTAACCCTGGAATCTTTCTGACTTTTGCTAATCAGATTACTTTTTTCAAGTAACTAGTAAAGTAATGCATTACTTTTCCAGTTACTTTGTTTTCCCATTTATTGATTGACAGCTGCAGAGGCGTAGTGTGCGCTGTGTGAACATGATGTTACTGTGGTTTTATTTCCACAAAATGAATAAAAACTCAGAAAATGACATCTCATTTTATTAACCTATGTCTTTGCCGTTGACCTTCGGTGATTCAATTCAACCATACTAATAAACAAAAATGACTTTAGATAAACTTAATTGTGTTGCTTTTTTTAAATTTTTATTATTGCTTAAGAGTGTTGAACTTTCTTCTCCTGCATCATATTCTTCATGCAATCCAGAATGGCAGCACAATTGAAAGGTTTGTTTAAGCTGCATCCTCTACTGTACAGATGTGAATTAACATTTCCTGCAGTCTGAGGCTTATTCATTTCACTTTTGGTGTGAAAGGGATTTTTACATTTGAAAAAAGTAGAATTTTTTATATTTAAAAAAACAAACAAACAAGCAAGCCCAGCCCAGATGAGAAAAAGTAACACAAAAGTAACATAACGCATTACTTTCCATAAAAAGTAACTAACATAATTAGTCTACTTTTTTAAGTAACGCAAAAGTAACATAACGCATTACTTTCCATAAAAAGGAACTAACATAATTAGTTTCTTTTTTAAAGTAATGCAAAAGTAACGTAACACATTATTTTCCATAAAAAGTAACTTAGTAACATAATTAGTTTCTTTTTTAAAGTAATGCAAAAGTAACATAACGCATTACTTTCCATAAAAAGTAACTAACATAATTAGTTACTTTTTTAAAGTAACAAAAGTAACGTAATGCATTACTTTCCATAAAAAGTAACTTAGTAACATAATTAGTTACTTTTTTAAAGTAACACAAAAGTAACGTAACGCATTACTTTCCATAAAAAGTGACTAACATAATTAGCTACTTTTTTAAGTAACGCAGAAGTAACGTAACGCATTACTTTCCATAAAAAGTAACTTAGTAACATAATTAGTTACTTTTTTAAAGTAACAAAAGTAACGCATTACTTTCCATAAATAGTAACTAACAATTAGTTTCTTTTTTAAAGTAATGCAAAAGTAACGTAACGCATTACTTTCCATAAAAAGTAACTAAGTAACAGTTACTTTTTTAAAGTAACACAAAAGTAACGTAACGCATTACTTTCCATAAAAAGTAACTAACATATTAGTTACTTTTTTTAAAAGTAACGCAAGTAACGTAACGCATTACTTTCCATAAAAAGTAACTTGGTAACATAATTAGTTACTTTTTTAAAGTAACAAAAGTAACGTAATGCATTACTTTCCATAAAAAGTAACGTAGTAACATAATTAGTTACTTTTTAAAAGTAACGCAAAAGTAACGTAACGCATTACTTTCCATAAAAAGTAACTCAGTAACATAATTAGTTACTTTTTTAGGGAGTAAAGCAATATTGTAATGCATTACTTTTAAAAGTAACTTTCCCCAACACTGATCATAAACATGCACATTTTGACCCAATTGATCATTTTGACCCCGTCACTTTTTTTGGGGTGAAAAAAAGATGAAACATTATATGCAGAATAATTTTCTGTTTTGTTTTACATTTTCCTGATGAATCTCGCTCAAAATATCTTTTTATTAATATTTTACTATTACTGTACTGCATACGAAGGCCAATTTTTGTCATTTTTAAAGTTCCATATACCTTTATCTACTATTTCATACAATAATGCGTTTACAAACACTTTACACACATTTTTATAAGCATCTATAAAAATTATTGTTGTTGGGTTTCCATATTATATTAGGACATAATTTTTATACTGTACTAACTGTATTTTCATTCCCCTAACCCTACCAATCACACAAAACTTTGAAGCAATTAAATAAATAAATACAATATCTAAAAATGAAAAAGTTATGTTTTGTCCTAAAAATGTATTTAAACTATCGGGTAGTTAAAATGTAAATTAAAAAACCAATTATAATGTCAACTTGAGTAATTTATGATATATTTAAATATTTGGGGTCAATTTGACCCCACACATTAAAAACATGGTTGAAATTTGCACATAACAGGAGGGTTAATATTGTATGTTGCATTTTTTTAAAAAACATTCTACCACCTTATTGTTGATTTCTGGCAATATAAAACAATCATGACAATAAATTACCTTGAAATTAAAATAGAAAGAGGGTTCTTTTTATATTTATCAGGGTCTTAAATATGTTTACTTTAATGTATATTGTTATTTTTATTTCAATGTATTTTTGATATGCCTTACTGTACCTTTTAATTTATAGTTTTACACTGCACTGCCATTTTATTTTATATTATTATGTATTTATTTACTCTATTCACACTATTGTTACTTTGACTTATTGTTATATATATTGCTATATTAATGTTATATTGACTTCTTTTGCTTTGCTATGGCAAAAAATTTAGTTTGTGTCATTACAATGAAGTTCACTAAATAAAAAATGACTGAACTGAAAAACAATTATTTTGCTATATTTACGTTACTTTTAATGAATCCAATTTAATTAATGTTACTTGTTAAATGTTATTCTTTTTGCTTAATACTACAAAAAATACTGTATAAATGCTACAGTAAAAACATGTTAATTGGTTAAATATAAAAAAA